TCATGAGAGCTTAGCAATTTTTTTAAGAGAAGAAAACAAGTCTTCTTCTCCAAATGCAACACGTAAGGACGAAAACAACCTTCGACTTGCATGTGCCCATTCTGCCTTTTGATCTCATGCTTTGGCGTTTGCTTTGCAACTCAATCCATGTGGTAGCATCCCGCCTTTTATTTCATGACTACCCTTTTTTATTGGTAGTGGGGATTTGTATGGTGACCGGAGCCATTTTCTCCTAGTTTCTCGCTTTTGTGTTGTAGCCCCATCTTCCCCCTTGTGCTTCGTCCATGTACGATGAGATCTTCCCATCTTTCTTGCTGTGATTCTTATTTCCTCTAGCAGGTTCGGACAATGTTGTCTCCTTCAGGAGAACACGGTTAATCGTCTTCTGCAGTCTATATTACCAATGAGCCATTCAGAGTCAGGAACCCCCCTTTGCCAAAAGAGATTCCAGACCTTCTCAGGAAGATGCAAAACCCCTCTATATTTCGTGTTATGAACTCCTGTTTTCGTTCATATTTTCGAGTTTCCTCCGTGTTTTGGACTAATGTTATGTCGAGATTGACATATAATATAGGACAATCAAAATGCAAGACGACGATTCCATGTGTTCAAAATTGTTCCTTCTAGGGGGAACATATATGCCTCGAGAGTGGATGTACAGTACTGTAGAGTACGTTTGGATTTTGAGCATCTACCATTCCTCGCTGTGGGCGACCACTAGACATGAAAATTTGAGACATCTCTAGATGAGTAGGTGAACACTTGAGACATTTTCTAATAAGTGTAAAGATAGCATAAGAAGACAAGATGAATAGGTGTAACCACTACACGTAGCAGCTTTACTCTCTCCTCCGGGGCCTGTGAACAGCTTCAAAAAGTGCAGATGATGTTCAGATGATGTTCCACAAGAAAACATAGAGAACTATTTCCGTCAGCGATTGGCTTTACTGTAGAATAAAAAGGGTGAGATATACCATCGTGATTGATGTGGTCTGCCCATATCTCCCCTCGTTTACAACATTTTAAAACAACCTATGGGGATAATATGTGTGACAGCATCTATTGCTGTGGTAATAGTAATTATGTGTTCACAGCAGTATAACATGGCATAACATTGCTCACAACCTCTATGGTGCCCCGGCTATATTCAATCGAAGGACACATGCTGCCAGTCAAGCACGGATGTCATGCATTGGGTTAAGTACCAAACAGTCTATAAAATCTCCAACTTTCGCCTGATTCAAGAGTTTATCAAAACCAAACTCCGAAATTAAAGTCTCGGATGGATTTCTTAAGTTCCTTTTTGAAAGTGACTTTGGCAAGGTTAAAGCAGTTCCAAAGTACCACGGCGTGAAAGAGAGTATATTACAAAATTTGTTGGCTTTAACGCAGAAATCCGACCAACGAGCAGTGTCCAATCGTACAGTATCTTTCAGCTTCGACATGCACATCCAACGAGCGTAGCCTAGCTAGCTGACATGTTCCTCTTCACGGTGAGCAAGTGATCTCTGATATCTGAGTACCCTAGGTGACCTGACAGGCCACTCTGAGTTCAGGATTCCCTGGGTAGGGAGGAACACCTCGTTTCGATCTTCTGAACAGACAAAATTCCGCAGATCGGCGTTCCCTCGGCGGACCTTGGAAAATCTCATGAACGAACTACTAAAACTAATACGTGGAGACGGCCTTCTCAGTGGAATGACTGGAATTTCCTGCCAGCTAGTCTAGACCGCTGTCGCCTTGGGCTCGTGGTTTTGGGGTAGAGCTAGGTGAGAAGTCTAGTCGTTCCTCTTGCTTTTGCTCAACGTAGGTGCAGCTGCGCTTCCTGCATGGTTGCATGGCTTCCCAAGCAGGTCCAAGTAAACACTGTACTGTACCTTGGCCATGGTAGATGTCAATATCTGGTGGGTGGCTTCGCCTTTTAAAAGCCTGAAAGTCGAGTACGACAGCAGCCGTTCCAAGTCCGGCAAAGTCATTCGATGTTATGAACAATCTGGCTTCCGAAGAGCCATGTTAATGGATCATTGAAGAGTCGTGGGTGCACCTCTTGCGCTTTCAGTACACTGAAATGTCGACAGATTGAAAAGGCCTCATGCCTTTCGTAGAGTATGTGCTTTGAATCGGAAAGGGCCAAGTTGGAGAGAAGGTCGCTTTGGAAGTTGAGACAAGCCTAAATTGCGGCTTCAGCCAGCTTCCCGGGCAACGCCTTCAAACACAGACCCAGATTCTTCATGCTGGCTGATCACCCTACAAGGCAAGCAAGTGAACTGTTTCGACTGTTGAGGTGATATGAAGACGCTCGATGTACAGTACGCCCAAAGGACAGTGCACTGTGCGTCCGTGTCCGTCTTGAAGCTTTCGACATATTCATATTCGATATTATGACAACCTCGGACCCACAGCAGATTATGAAAGAGGCCTCAACAGTTATTTTCATGAGGGCCTGGTGTATATGAATCGACCTCTCTGACGGTGTCAAATTATCAAAAGAAGCTACCCTGTTTAGAACCCAATACAAGACGTTGTACTACTGTAATTCGCTGTAGGAAACTATCTTCTTCGCGCTCGTCAAAATGGCTGTTTGGCTGATTGATTTCGTGTTCACAAGCCTGGACAATCTCCGAGCACCTCGGCTCGAAAGCTGCCTTCTTCGTGGCTTCATATTCATTTCAAGAGCCTTCAACCCAAACACTGCAGACACCTGCATCCCTCGTTCACATCAACTTTCGGCACGCGTTAGATTAAACTCTCCCTAATAAGCGCCCTACAAATCAAGGCTGGATCCGGCCGGGTGATCCGACTTCTTAAGCCGACTTACCGTTTGTACCTACTCGTGTTGACTACATACGGGAGTCAGTGTGGTGACACTAATGGACTCCACACAAGACCTGTACCTGTTATATATGAGGAAATGTTGGATTGACTTCTCTATTCGGAAGATCTGGCAAAGTAGTGTCCGAGTGTAGGCATATTTTTCCTTTTTCCTTCCCTCTTACGTTTTCTCTAGAATATGTGTCCGTAACGATATTATAGTGCAAAGATGACACCTGATGAATCATTTCTCAGGGACAGGAATATGTTTGAGAAAATAATAGCACAAACTGACGAGGAGAGTCTCAGCGCATGGTTCACATACAAGTTTCGATTACATAAATAAAATAACAGAAAAGTGGAGACAAGATAAGTGAAACCTAAATCTTTGTTGTAATACAGCGTTCTCATAATACTTAATAAGGATTTGACGCGGATGTATATAATTAGATTACATAAAAAATAATTCAAAAATATAACGATATAAAAATCTAAAAATAAATAAATATATTAATTAGAGAACTTTATATGTGTTAACGAAATTAGTTGAAAAACAATGCAGTATTGGCTGCATTCAAGATACAATTTTGGTTTCACTCCATCGGCCAAGTTCTACTCTATGTGACTAGGTCTTAAATCATGAATCTTGAACGGGTATGTTTTAACATATCTCTCAAATCATTGTAATGTGAAGTATGTTTTACTGTGACTAGCACATAACCTTCTCTACGTTGTTTTATATTACCAAACTGCGGATGATGTATATCATATACATGATATAAATTAAATTGATCTAAATTACTTTTTTAGTGTACTAAATTAGCCTAAATGAACTTTGTAAGGAGATTAAATTCGCCTAAATTAATGTTTTTGAATAGACTAAAGTAAATTTTTCGAGGAGACTAAATTATACGTATTTAGGTAGTTTAGGCGGGAGACTATTATATCCATGCCTGTGTATATGTAATGAGAATTGGATCGCTTAAACCTGCGTTAGATGTAGTTCAATTGTCAAGAGCATACCGAAGCACGCAATCATCACCTCTTTCATTACAAAGGTATTGAGGGTAAAATATCTGGGTCTTGAACGATATCTGTTTCATAAGCCCCATGGTTATTCATGGTTTTCTGCGACTAACTGGGAACATTACTGAGGCGTTTGTAGCATTGGTATTCACCCGTGCAAACAACACGGTAAAATTTTTACTCCTGATTCTCAAGCGAGAGTAAAAGCTTTGTCCGATGCCATTATCGGACAAGCTTTTTATATACACGAATACAAAGATTCACATGGAATTCGATGAGGCAAACGAGAAAATCTACCCGATCACTGATTGACACGCACATACCTGAACAAAGAGTGCCTTTAGTTCGATGATTATGGTAGATGCAAAGGAGAAAGGTAAAACAGAACGTGGGTAGAGAATAAGAGTCGTGATCGACCAGAACTGGACCTACAGACGAGGGAGATGGGGAGGGAGATGCAACCCCAAAGCTTTCCTGTACCAACTGCCTCCTCTCGCCCGCCCGCCCGCCCACCACTTGATACACTCCGCTGGGTGCGGTTGCATGAAATACTGGGACGTGTATACACCTCAAGGTTTCAGAATCCCTTCTTTGAAGGCTGGGTGGTGCCTGCCGAGAAGTCGATGAGCTTATGAGCTGGGATAGCTCGATCTAGACTGTTCAGCAGATACTACTGCAAAACATACGTGGGAATGAGGCAATCCGAATTCCAAATCTCGATTTTGAGTTACAGTGCCAGTTTTGGCCTGATGGGGATTGCAGCTCGGGGCCACTATGCGGAGAGGGGGTGAACATTCAGCGCTCCTTTTTTGCCGACTGTAGCCGCTGATGCGACAGGGCCTGTCCTGTTCTGGGTAGCATGCAAATCGCTTTTCTTTTGTTCACTCGCTGAGGTAGCGAGCGAATCTCGTGCCTTTCGGCGTCCAACCTCTTCTGCTGTTGTGCTCCGAAGGCAGGCGGTGTTGTGGTCATGGGAATTGGAGAGACCGAATTGAAAAAGGGTGGCCGGACACGACCCTCGAGACAATGGAGGAGGTGGGGGGTAAACGCTAAAATGCAATAATGCTGCATTATCAGTTGGAAGTTCTCCGAGGCAAAAAGCAATGTCAAACGAATCCTCGAGCTCAGCGAGCTCTAAAACTCGTGGCCTGTCGGCCGCAAAATTGGGCAAAATTGCATTTTATTGGAATCACATTGTAGATACATCCTCCGAACTTCATATCAGAACCTCTCTCTAGCTCGCTCGCTCTAAGTCTCCAATTGGCCTTATTTTCTTCTATGAAAGGCCTCTGAACCCGCCCGGCGCGTTGCTGGCAGATTCCCTATTCTCTCCTCTCTTCTTGCTTTTCTACGCACTCCTTTTCTCCTCTAACAGAATTTTCACAACCCTGAACCTTCTCGGGCGCGAACAATGATTCCACCCGAAGAAGACAATCATTCTGCTCACCCAAAGGGTAGATGGACACAACAGGTCGACATCGCATCCCTCAATTTGATGGACAAAGGACAGGTCGACAAGGGAACACGGTTGTACAGAAAAAAGCCCACAACATACTCTCAAATCGGAAACGCAAGCTTTCTCTGACGATCTGCACAAGCAAAAGCTCGAATCATTGGCTACTAGTAGCTGTCAGCTGCCGCGCAGCTGACAGGCAGACATCCATCCTTCCAGATGGGTCCGAATGCTCCCCTCCGCCAGGAAAATGACATCCAGCCTCCCTTCCGGAAGAACCACCGGACTGTGCTCTTGTTCAACGAAAGCCTCTGCGCCTGGGCACCCTAAGTTGCTTCTTTCCTGGGTCGTCTTGTTGAGTGAAGACTAATGGACTACAATACATGATGTTCTGCGCGAAGGCCTTCACGCGAGATACTTGTGCACTTGTGCGCCGCTGACGAACGAGGCCTTCTTTCTATACATGATTCCTGCTTCGCTCATGGCTCGACATATAAGTAGGTGCAGGTTCCGGAACCTGTGGAGGCAATTTCGAGAATTGTCAGAATAGCCCGTTGTAAGGCGAGGACTGACTGCCACAGGAAATTGAACAATGTAATTCTAAAACACGCTCTGAGGGATCCAACTGCAAATTACTGTCTAACATCACACTCGCACAGCAGACAGATAAACAAGCTACATTCCCAGCGGAAAGGGGAACCAATCCAAAGCAGAAATCAAAGAAAAACCGATCGTCGAGCTCAATGAGTTCCGACGTTGAACGACAGACAATGCCTGAATCAGATTTCCAAGTTCTCCGCCTCAAAGTCCACTAGACAGGAAATTCAGGCCGAGAAAAGGGCCACAGGAGCCTGGACTCACTTGGATCTACGGTGCTGAGCTGGGCAGTTCCGCCGAAATCGCAAGTGCCGCCAGTCTTCTTGTGCGTTTGGTAGTACTGGTTGAAGGCGTAGGAGCTGTGATCATGGAGAGAATTGGGAAGGTAGCACGCAGCTCCGGCTTGAATGAGAGCGCAATCGGCACCACCTTGGCCGCACGCGTAGTCTAGAGCAGGCTGCAAAGTTTCAGGTGTAGCAGCAGGATTCGCAATACACCAAGTCCCGGCTGTGACGAAGGGCTGGGAAGTGGCAGGCGAGCCTGCCGAGTCCTTGGGATCGGTTGCTGGAGGCGTGGTGGCGGTAGGAACTTGGAGAGGAGGATAGGCGTCATCCTGCAGCTTTCCTGTGAGGTCGACCGGGTACACTTCGGATCCATTGGCATACAGGAGTCCCCAATTGCGCTCAGTAGCAGGTCCGGGCTTCTGATCCTCGTTGAAGAGAGCGAAGAGGTAGGTGGGGATGAACACTCCTGCTCTCTTGGGAGTTCCCGTGGGGGGGCTGGACAGCACACGGCGAACCAGACGTCTGTTGTAGTAGGCAGCGTAGGCGATGTTGGCTCCAGTTTGGCTTGCATCTCCAGCAGTGGGCCACCCTGTTTCACCGACAGCGATTTTGGCTTCCCCGTATCCCACTTTGTCCATGGCAGCGATCAATGCGTCGAGCTGGGCATCCAGAAGACTCTTGTAAACATACGTTCCGTCCTGAACTGGAACCAGCTGCGGGCCATTTCCGAATAGAGCATAATCTACCGAGATGTCGGTGGGATTGCTGGCCCAGGCGAAGTATGGGTACACATTGACGAACAAGGTCGAGTGTGTCTTGGTGAGCAGAGCCAGAATGGGCTTCATGAGTGACATCTCAATGTCGCTGCGGAACTGTCCGGCCGAAGGTGGGTACGAGAGCCCCAGGATGTCCATGGCCAAGGAGGTGGTGATTTTCACTGTGTCCGACAAACCCCTTTTGACGAGCGAGTCGTGCAAATTGTTCATTGCTGGGAGCACTTGGTACCAGGTGAGGTTGAGGGCGGGGTAGGAGAAGAGTTCGTTTCCGACTATGATGAATCTAATTTGCGTGCGCGGGTAGGCGACGACATTGGCTTGGATCCACTGGTCTGCGACGTTCGCGTCTCCGGCCAATCCTCCGATGAGATCGTGCGTGACTGACATAGCAACTTGAAGGCCCGAGTCTCCCAAAGCCGTGAGCACTGAAGCATCGGCGTCGTAGATTCTCACTTTTCCAATGTTCATTTGCCTCATCAAAGCCACCGCCTGCGTCGGGTTGGGGATGTTGTCTGCAATCCTGCCATAGTTGATCCCGATTTTCTGATCCTCGACAAAATCTGCGACACCAGTGACGGACGCAAAGAAATCAGACTCAAGAGACCCAATTCAAGAACTCCCGCAACTCATGCACAGAATATTGGCATTTCAAGATAAAGATTGGCTTCAACTTCCGCAAGATTGCGCGGAAGGTATCATATAACAAAGGAGAGACGCTCTCAAGCAGTGGTCACCATCCCCATGTCATTCGGCTCGACCAGCTTATCCCGCTCTTCGAAAAGAGCAGATGCGAACAGAGGAATGAAGTACTAAAATCAGATATTCACTTTCTTGGAAACAGAGTGAAATTGATACTGCGAGCAACTTGCGGACATCTTAATTTGGAAATTAAGATGTGGCGAGCTAGGAGAGTTGGAAATAAAACACGTACCATTATCGACTGCGGAAGAGCTGAGGATGCAGCTAACGAGAAGAACGAGCCCAAGAATTCTCTTGGCCCGGCAGCTTTCTGTATTTCTCCGAGCCATTTTGAGACCCAGATGGATCCTCACGTCAGAATTTCCAGGACGATGTGCAACTCAGAAGTTTTAGTGGCCGACGACGATCGCTCCGACAAGGGACCAAAACATTGGCGTCTAGACTCGTGGCCCTGTCCGGACGAGCTCGTCTTCGTGGTCAGCTCGGGGAGAACGAAAGAGGTTGTTCTGCAGCTGCAAAACTGCGGAGTCCGGGATAATGTAGGCTCCGGAGAACCATGAACAGGGCGATGAAGTGTCTAGAAATGCGGATGCAGTGCAGATAGGATGGACACGAGATTTCCTCCGCTCGAGTCGCTAGGTGTATATCGAGCTCGCACTGCACAGTCGTGGATGGCGACTGGCGTGTCAAAGCGGAATCAAAGAACTCAAACTCCGCCGAATGTTTCGTGACACTATCTACTCACTCGAGCCGCATTCGCATGCGCGAGTGGCAAAAAGAAACAAAGAAGCTGGACAGAGCTGGGCTGGAAAAACCGCTCGACTACTGAAGCTCGCAGGTGCCCGTGCATGCAGCGGCACACGAGCAGCCGCGTTTGATGGGAAAGAGAGAGAGATTAAAGGATGGCGACGAAGGACAGAGCGAGTCTGAGTCGGTTTGCAGGACTCACCACCGAAGACTCAACCTCTCGCACTACTCTCTGAGATCGAGTGCAGGGATTTATATGTAGTGTGTCACGGGATTCCCAGGTCGCTCCATTCTTTGCAGAGAGCTGAGCACCCACTCTATCGCTGTATGCTCCCCTCCCCTCCTGCCTATGGCAACTCCTCGGCTGGCCTAGCCCTCGCCACTAGGATCCAAGCCAAGGTTGGCGGATGCTGGTTGAGGTCAGCTTCAGGACGGGTCGTGTTGGGTGAGAGTAGCCCTCCATCCATCCCCGGGTCGGAGAGGGTGGGGAGGCGCGACCGTTCTGCAAAAATCTAACAAGATGCCCTGGCCGCTCTGAAGACGAGGCTCGCTCACCTCGACGAGCATGATCCGAGTAAGTTACAGCATTACAGCATTACAGTTTCAGGGCGAGTTAGAGCTCCGAGCTGACGTTAAGCGACCAGGTCGTGACCAGGGCAGAACAGAACAGAACGAGGGGTACTCCGAACCTCTGCGCACACTCTGAGCAGAGGACGGGGACGGGACAGGGAGGGGGGGCAAAAGGGCCAGCAGCCACCAACGGCAAGCTGTCCCGGAGTGCTGCACTCTGAGACTGCGATCAGCGATTCGGTACCCTGACGTAGGATTTACCGGACCGGGGCATGGGGCACGTACCGGAGTTACCACAGTAGGTCCGGTGACTCCGGTCAGGCAGTTCCACCGGTCTGATAAGCGAGTAATGTGGTCGGTCCCTAAGCGCCCACAATTGCGTTGCTATTGGTACCGTCGGCCCACTTGGTTTCCACCTGCAAACGCTCGGGAAAGAAACAATAACACCGCAAAAGCCTTTCGAGCAAAGCAATCTTTTCGGCTCCCACTAGTGTCCAACCGGCGTGGACCATCCGAAATTGCCCGTCTCTTTCCCCCCGGTACTCCATATCCGTGTTACCGGACGATGGATTTCCTCGTTCGCCGGTGCATGAAGTGGGAGCAGATGCCGAGGGCTAGTTCTGCTTCTTTTTCTCTTCCTTCCTCTTCTTCTTCTTTTCGCTTTACTATTTTCGCTTTAATAATAATCGGGAATGGGGGGGGGGCAGGGCCGCTAATGTGCTCGTGGTGATTAATTACAGCGGCCGACGACGTGACGGAGTTGCTCCGGTCGATAATCCGGTTGATATTCTGGAGGGTTGATTTGCTTTTAGGAGAGCACGCTGTGATTGGGGCAGGGAGCTTTGGTGAACGGCTCCATGGCTGGTGGCCACAGTTTCTGAAGCACAATTTTGCTTAGCCATCATCAGATGTTGAGAGTCCAGAGCCTCCGGATGGGGTCTAAATATCGGAACGATGCGACCCATGTTCGATCGAGCAGAAGATCCTTGTCCGACACCTGACAGTGAGGTCACACCGACTGGCCCTGCCTGCCTTCTACCTTACGCAGTCCGTTTGCAGCCCTGACATGTCTTCTGATCTAGTCTTTTTCTTTTGCCCAAGCTTACATCACGCTCCAGGCGCTTCCTTCACTTGGTCATGCGAATCCTGTTAGCGCGAATTAGTATAGGCAGGTTGTGGCTTGGAGTATTTTCAAGAAGAGCTGGATCCATTTCGATTCTGCGAGACGTACTGACTCTCTGACTCGCATTTGCCACAACTGGGCGGAGCCTGGCAGTGCTCGAGGCATCCATCGCTTCGCGTTTGAGTACCTAGTCACCGAATTGGCACCTCGTATTGTAGGGCAAGCTGTCAGCCGAGGATCGCCATTATTGCCGCAATAAAAAAACACCTGATGCAGTACGGATCAGATTGCTCAATGCTTTTGGGATGACCGCGAGCCTTGCCTTTCTCCTCTTCGATCATGCCTTTCTTACCATGGCGTAGAATTTCTTTAACTCGCTGTACTGGCTCCGTTGTGGCTAGCAAGCAAAGTGCACCATACGATGGCCATGCAGGGTCGCCATCGAGAGCTGTTACTCGACGCTTTCAGACCGGCTCGAGCTCACTCATAACTCGCTGTGCGTCTTCCGTTGGCTCGACTTTTCTCCTCCGCCATTGCCAGCTGCGAGCACTACAGTACCTCATTTCACCATCGGTCTAATGCACTCTCGCTCTCCGAGTAGCTGTCCTATCAGAGCGAGAACTTGGCAGAATTGGCATCGGTGTTCGGATGTGGGGCCGGCTCTGAAACCTCAGTCGACTGATCACCAGGGAGTGGACCTCCCTCCCTCCCTCCCTCCCGCCCTTGCTCCTTCGCTGAATGGGATCTCCGCATAGCTTTCTCGCAGATCGGGGCCGCGAGGGATCAAAAGCCACAGCACGAAGGGACCTGTGGGGCCTGCCAAAGGTCCGTCCCCAATGCTTCAAAGCGAGCCACCTCGCTTGCTTGCATTCCTTCCATCTTTTGCAGACGGCTGAAATACGCCGCCATAGCCGAGGAGGACCTTGGCCATAGGTCGCGCTATCGATCTCGTCTACAGTCTCGCCCGTCGTCATACTTTCGGCGCTCCCTTGTGACCCTGACGACCGCGCCAAACCGCGCTTTGGCCGGGCTCTGAACGTGGTTCCTGACGCCATCATCAGGCTTCGCCGGGCCTACTACGTTTGATTGGTACTACACCCGATGCCGCCACGACATCATAGCCCCGTCGTACTGCAGTAGGAAATTCTCCTCTCCAAATTCTTTAACCTTCGCGATGCCGTTCTCGTACGTATCCTCTTCTCCTGGAGGCTCTGCGCGTCGCTGCTCACCGTGGTAAAGGCCTGCCATCGTACCACGGATGTGATTCAGCTGAAGTCCTATTCCACTTTCAGGTCTCCACTAACCGACTGCGTACGTTCTTCGTTCCCGGTTCCTGTACTCATGATCCGACGGCGTAGCTCAGTTCAAGAAACCCGATGTTGCCAGTTCAGTAAGTACACTTCCCCATCTTGGAGACAGTCGCGGACTTGTTTCCTTCGGCCGAAACCACAGCTTCGCGGGGTTCCATCGTGCTACGCCTTGTGTCGGTGACGATCGTCGATCCAAGGGCTGCGATCACCCCCACTTGAGATAGTCGGTAGCTCACGTGATTATCCTCCTTATGAGGCCTCCCGGTGGGCATCCAAGACACCTAGTATTGCCGGTGAGCAGATCCTCACCAATATTCCTACCGGTGCGGAGGGGCAGTCAGCGCCGACAGGCTATGGCGAGAGGGAATTTGACGGCTTCGATGGCATCGCCGAAGTCTCTAAATTGGCGGTTCTTGAGACCACTTGTCCAATCAGATGTCTCCACTTAGCGAGGGCTAAGTGGGAATTCAGACATCATAAGCACGTCCGTCCCTCATTAGTACCTGTACTTAATAGTAAAAGCGACGGGCAAGGATTCCTGATAGTGTGAATGTGATGAAGGGCGGTCCAATGGATGCTCGTGTAACCGAAGAAAAAAGTTACTGCAGCAGGTGCTCCTCGTGATGATTCTAAGTCAACTCCACATGAATCCTCTATCCTCATTATGTTGTTGCTAGTTTCCATCGATACTGGTCTCATTCCCTCCGACAACGCTTGCCTCAATGCACACCTTGTGGAAAACGCATATGCTCCTGTCCATTTTTCTGCCACCGTAGTTTGTAGAATTATTGTCTCTTAGAAGTATCTCCGCAAATTCATTCCTGCTTCCTATTGTTACATTTGATTTCGGTTCTTTCCGCGAAGGAAATGATGTTAATCCCGGACTTTCTATATTCCAAATTTTATTCTGAAGGCATTCTGTGGCTCTATGCATGAGTTGAACAGGGAAAAATAACAGAGTTCATGCCTCCAGCTATGCAAAAAGAGAAATGCACAGAAGTGCCACCACCACATGCTGCTAAACAATGCATCATCTCCTCCTGTAGCAGTAGTCCTGCGAGTATGTTCTAGCCCATGCCTGCCTTTGCTAGGAGCTTCTGGCAAGCTCAAATATGCCAAACGGCGAGTACTGTCAAGCTTATCGTAGAACACGCTATCACATGAGCTAGGTGATACGTGGTAGCCTCTGAGAATCTAGAGGAACGCAAATACCGTGTACAGTCACCCCTACCCAGTACACGGAATTACGTGAGACAATGGTTCATACGTGGGAGTCTTTGATATCCCACAGGAGGGAAGTTACCTTGCAGCTTGTCTTCGATAGGCCTTACCGTATCTCTCTAACAAGCCAAGTGCATGAAGCCATCATATAACCTACCCAGTATACGCCACACACTGAGTTGCCTTCACAGCTCTCCAACCGCGTACCATAGGTTACACCACGTAATTGCCTGAACTGAGATGACTCAAGATACAATCAGATTTCCAGTGGAAAATATATGTCACGTACATTATTCCTCTTGAAAGTACACATCGGTTAGTCTAGTCATTCCAACAGTATTCAGAGAACTAAATCTTCTTTGCTTGTGGTTGCGATCATATCAGGAATGGTCTGAGAGTCAGTCACTCCGTGTTTCAGAGAGCATATTCCTTACAACGCAAAGTGAGAATATCTGATTCATATGACCTGCTATATTCCCCAGTGAGCAGTGAAGTGCAAAAAATGGTGCAGAAGAGAGTTGTTCATGTCATCTGCTCCCATTCGGTGGTAGCCTGCGGGCTGCGCTACAGGGCTCAAGAGTTTTCTTTGTAACATTTTACTGTCCCCGATACACGAAAACCTCGTAGAACTTTCGTCTCTTGATATGCAGACTCCTCGATAGAACGTCACTATTCCAGGCTAGTCAACTTACATCCCTTGCATCTGACTTACTACTATCAGCTGTCAAAATTTGGCAGAAGACCTGTTCCTGACACGGATTGAATATATTTTAAAACGCTGTCTCTCTTTTTATCAGCTTCCTCTGTATGTAGGTATGCACGATGCCGTTTGTGCGTGTAAGGTCTTTAACCGGAGGTCAACTTTCACACTGTATATGTCCAGGCAAGGGTCTATTTCCCCTTCGAGACAGTTTTGGGTGACTTGATCATTCTGCTTTTCAAGGAGAGGATGTCCTTGTGACGATTGTGGTGATGGTGTCGAAGAGGACATACAGGTGGAGTTGATATGAGGTAAGGGATGCTGGACACTGTACAGGATAAAAAAAACTGTTTTCGTGTGCATGCTCAAAATGTTTCAGGCCTCATATGTTGATGATATTCATGTGCTTCGTTATTTCATATCGATGGAAATTAAACTAAGAGTCAGGATGACGAAATTGACCTCATGATGCGTGAGGCGGGTAAATTGCCACTCAAGAAGTGTAGGTTGATTGCCAGCCTTCAGTTACTCAACGTTCGTCATTGATCATTATAGCTCAGGATCACATGACCTGAGCTATGTTCAGCAACTTCAGCCTGAAAATAAAGGCAAGAAATCAACATCAGCTGTACATGAGATGAGGCCAGAAAACCACTAGAGAATGCTTTTCTAGATCATTTACTGTATTTACTAAGAAATTATACAATGTCCAAAATGAT